ACGCCAACGGCGGCAGAGGAGGTGGCAGACCTGCGCGCACTCTGAGCGGTGGTAGAGGTAGTGGTGCCGGTGTCGGCGGTCATCGTCCTGGGCGGGGCGATAGCCAAACTCTGAGCGGTGGTAGAGGTGGTGGTGCCGGCGTCGGCGGCCAACGTCCTGGGCGGGCCCNCGGCGTCAGCGTCGGCGGTCACGTTCTTGGGTGGGGCGGTAGCCAAGCAGGGGGGGCTGGTCCCGCTGCTGCGGTGAGCGGCCGCGGGAGGGGTGGTGTCGGCGGCCGAGTTCCTGTTTGGGGCGAAGTGCAACCCTCACCAGGAACGGGAGTAGGTGCCCGTAACGCCAACGGCGGCAGAGGAGGTGGCAGACCTGCGCGCACTCTGAGCGGTGGTAGAGGTAGTGATGCCGGTGTCGGCGGTCATCGTCCTGGGCGGGGCGATAGCCAATCTCTGAGCGGTGGTAGAGGTGGTGGTGCCGGCGTCGGCGGCCAACGTCCTGGGCGGGCCCGTAGCCAAGCAGGGGGGGCTGGTCCCGCTGCAGCAGCGAGCGGCCGCGGGAGAGGCGGTGTGCAACCCTCAACAGGAACGGGAGTCGGTGCCCTTAATGCCAGCGGTGGCAGAGGAGTCGGCAGACCTGCGCGGACAAGGACCACACCAAACCCCCGGTGCTCCGCGTGTGGTGCATTGCCTTCATACGGAAACCAGAATAAGAGACTCTGCCTGGAGGACAGGCNGTCCCGCTGCAGCAGCGAGCGGCCGCGGGAGAGGCGGTGTGCAACCCTCAACAGGAACGGGAGTCGGTGCCCTTAATGCCAGCGGTGGCAGAGGAGTCGGCAGACCTGCGCGGACAAGGACCACACCAAACCCCCGGTGCTCCGCGTGTGGTGCATTGCCTTCATACGGAAACCAGAATAAGAGACTCTGCCTGGAGGACAGGCGCCCGCGATGGGCGTGCAGGGCGCGCTGCTACCACGGGTTCAACAAGGATCTCCAACAGAAGTGCTGCGAGTGCCACGAAAGCATCAAGACGTGGTGCGAGTGCAAAAGGTGAGCCTGTTCGTTTTTGTTTCATATGTCGTCTCCCACTTTCGAGCAGGTCGGTCTTCCCTTCTTGCGTCATATTTTCGCCGCGACCTAGAGATGAAGATTGAGGTTGTGGGTTCGACTCCCAAAACCCTCGCAAACCCGAGCACGGGACACGTTACCTACGTAGGCCTCTCGCTCGCAACGTGTGTCTCGAAAGTAAATCCGACGTCCCGATTGCCTACAATGGTCACGGCTGCGCCGTTCCATCCAACTAGCTGCTCAAGGAAAACACGGGCGGTGCCACGAGCCGACCGGGTATCAAGGGGTACCGGTTTGGTCGCCGGGTTGGGGGGCGGTAGGGGACGAGGAGCTCCGCGGCATGTACCCCTGAGCTTGATTCGCTTGCCCGCAGCGGATAATGCTGTAAACACCACGCTGTCGGTATGCATCGCTGCGAACCAAAACCGACTAGTGACGACGGTGCTACGGAATCCTGCGCCAACAGCGACGAACCCGAAGCCTTCACCGCGGAGCAGCTGCTCTTGGTTAGAGTGCCACACGTGAGCGAACCGTAAGATACAGGGTGTAACCGGTTAGCCATGTCAAACAGGGTGTGCCCAGTGTTCGCTTGCTGTTATTTGTTGTTGGTTGGGTCATGCGAAATGGTGCACGAAGCACCAGGTCGAAGCTCCTTGAAGTATTGGCCGGCCCGAATATGGCTGTTTTCAGATGGGTTTCCTTTTGTCCAAGGTGTTGCTGAATTGTCGTCGCATGTTTACTCGTCTTGTTCGTCTCTTCAGGATGCTTCTTCATCAGCGATCGGTTAGCCAACCAGCGGGGGCCAACGCTGGCGTTCAGAGTGTTACGGGGGCCATTTGCGAGCACGCCGCTGCGTCGTTGGAGGCGCTTGACAAGCACACGGTAGTGGACGCGACGCCTATCTTTTTCAACGGCAACAACGGATGTCTGTAAGCGGATTTGACCACGTGTATCTCGCAAACCCGAGCTAAAGCGTTCTTGTCGGAAGTCGAAGAAACGTTGTTGTTGGGGATGGTGGCGGAGGCAAAAGACATCGGCGTGTACCCAGTCGTCCAACTAGGCGAGTGGGGATACGCCGTGAGCGAGAGGCGGAGTAGAACTTGCGAACTGAACTGGGCCCATGTGAAGTACGACAAGGGTGATGGCAAGGGCAAGGGCAAGGGCAAGGGCAAGGGCAAGGGCGCGCCGAGGAGGACCACTCCTGCCCGGGGCTTGATGTGCAAGGTGAGGATATTTGCGCTATACTGGGAAGCTTGCGAAAGTTCGTGAAGTACGGAACGAATATGGAATACGTCGCTGTGTATTGCGCTGTGTGCGGCTTAATTGCCATGCCAACCGACTAGTGGTTTGTGCTATTATCGGCCTTGAACATCTCGCACATTGAATGTCTCGAGGTTTGAGGCAACGAAGTGAGGTTTTCAGGAGAATTGCGTGCTCGCACTTTTAGTGAGGGGTGGGTACTCTAGGCTAGGTTCCGTTACACCGGGTTGATTGCCCCAGATGAGTGCGTTCGGTAACGTGTATTGGCAGTCAAGTGGTCGACCATTTCATCGATATATCCTGCCGTCTTGGGTTTTCGTATGTTACCGTAGTCGACGGTGCCGTACCGGATGAACTTAGCCTCTTACATTGTCCTCCGCCGAGGGTACATACAAAGGTGGGTAAGGGTCATTTTTCCTCGTGAATACGCCGGGGGTTGATCACCCCTGGAGAAAACAGAAAAAAGACTCCCGTTCACACACTCTGCGTTCCCGCGATGGAGAAAATACGCGAGCAAGCGTTCGACGGATGACGGGTTCCGTCCAAACACTGTATATCCTCTGGGTGCGTCAGCACTGACGCGTTGTGATGGTGAAATGCTCGTGAAAGATCGTGCGAAAAAAACGGGGGGAACTCACAATAGTGGCTGGAGCGTGTAAAGAGAGAGAGAAAAGGTGCCCGCAGTTTTCTGATTGGCCAATTTTTTTGAAAGGAAATCGCCTGTGTGCAGACAATTCCATGGTCGACCGATGACGTCCGCCACGGTCATGACGTCACCTCTTGGAAAAATTAAAAAAAAATTCGCCGTGGACGACTGATTGGACTGATGATGACGCCAGACCTTCACGGGAATCGCTGACCACACGGACGGATACAGCCAGTCATTCGTTCCCTGGACGAACGCATTTACTCCTGGCTGCTACGATCCACCCTACGCTGGGTGGTGTTGAACCCACCATCCCCGCCCTTCTTCTTATGATTTTTTTTGTCGCACCCACACGACGACGGACGGTCTTTGGAAAAAACAAGAGAGGCACACAGCAGGGACAAATCTCGACGGGAAACGTTCGCCACAGGAAACACCAACACACGCTCACAACTACACCCCCCCTCACATGAAAAGAGGTATTTTCTACATTTATTTTACTTGCGTCTTCACCATACAGGCAGGCAGACAGTCACTCACCACCTGACAGACATACTGTCATCAGTCAACGGTGCCACCACCGTGGTTGACGCTACGCTTCACGTAGTGATAAGTCATGACGTGTTCACGGCGCATGAGTTTGATTTGGGTGAAGGGGTACAAGTCGCACGAGGTGGGCAGAATTCGCCGGCCTTCAGCCGGAAGTGCGCGGTTGTGAAAGTGAGAGATATCAAGGACGACCATTTCAGGCAGTGGACGGTGTGACTTCATGCTACTAACATCCTCTTCCAGTAGTGCTTTGTCGTCGACATAAACACAAGAGTGAGAGTCATGCAAGTGTATTTCATTTTCCCGCGTTTTGTCACCGATCTCTCGACTCAACTCCCAATTCTGCAAATGCAGTGTGGGTGGGCAACACAGCGCCTTCCATTCCTAGAGCACTCCCTAACCAGTGGTCTATTCCACTCCCATCACATCATCACTGGCCGGCCCGAAATCTCGCAACGGATGTCCATGTGTGTGTTCAAAATATCTACGATTCATACTTATTTTCTATTTCTACACAAATTTCACACAAATCACTCCAAATTTTCACGCCACCGCCATCGATACAAGGTGTATGAAACAAAATGTTCAGACACGTCCGAATGACAAACCCCGGGAGAAACACTTCTTCTCTACCTTGATCGGGGTTAACAATAATCAAGTTTCACACAAACAAATTTCACACGAATTTTCACGCCACCGCCATCGATACAAGGTGTATGAAACAAAATGTTCAGACACGCCCGAATGACAAACCCCGGGTGAAACACTTCTTCTCTACCTTGATCGGGGTTTTGTGTCGCACAAACACGCACGCACATCCCCTCGCAAGGATACATGCACACATAGAAGGAGGGTTCTCAAACCATAACGATAGCTTTTGGGCTATCTCTCTCGGAAGGCCCCGTGCATGTGGCCTGGGAGTAACAGCCGAAAGGCATGGATCTAATGCTTGCGGTTAATGCCCCTTGTCCCGCCTATCCCTGCTCCTCCCCGTGATCCCTGGCCTTGCTCTTCAGGTAGCTGTCGATTCTCTCTATCTTGGCGTCTGTCTGGACCCTTGTGCCGTTCTTCCTGTATGGGTAGGAGGACAACCTTTTGCCTCGGCCGCTGAACTGATAGGTGCCCAGAATCCACGCCCCGTTCTCCATGTTGCTGATGCTGTACTCGAAGAACTCCAATGTGTCGCCCGACATGACGAGCTTGCCATTCTCCTTGTAACCACGATAGTGGAAGCCGATGAAGCGACGGTAAGGGCGATAGTCGAACTCCTTGATGCCGGCTCTACCGGGGCCTCGCGGGTTGGGGTTGGGTTTCTCGTGCTCCCCCGATTGTACCACCCCTGAAAATTTGCATTCAGAGGAGACAAGTGGCCGAGTGCGAGCGTCTTATTCGCAAGAGGAAATACGAGCTTCCACAGGCGACGGATGTAGCGGTATTGTACTCCGCGAGAAACTTCATCCCACGGGTCCCTTGCACGCAACCGTATCACCATATTCCATGGAGCAGGGAGCGGGATGAGTTGGTTGCGTTGGGTGTCTCGCACACGAGGCAAGTGGGATAGAAAACGACTCGATCATGAGGAAACAATAACAAACAAACACAAACAACCGCAGAGAGCGCAAACAAGCATTATCAAGCAATAACAAGCACAACAACAATAGCGAAGTGAAATGTTAGACCCAAGACTCGGCCGTGCCTCACCACCCGCGGAAGTTTCCTCCCTCTTCTTCTTCATCAGTCTCTGCTCTTGAGCGGTGGGCTCCCTCTTGCCGTTCCACACGTCTTCGTCAACCCCATATTGCCCTGACAATCGGGACGAAGATGAACGGAATGAACTTAGGGATTTAATACATTGTATGAAATATGAATGGCGAGAGAGAAGAGAAGTAGTACCCAACAACAAGCAACCAACAGCATCGTCAGACGCACGCCTTGGTATCACCACATTCCATGGAGCAGGGAGCGGTGATGAGGTGGTTGCATCGGGCGGGGGGAATACGCTCAATCCAACCATGCACCACTTGCTCGCTCTAAAGGCATCGCGTTCTGTTCGATCGACTGTCACATAAACTGAAAAAAGGAAAAAAGTCAAATAGCTCGCTTTGGCGGCGTTATACCCCGCGAGAAACTTCCTTCACAGGGTCCATTGCACGCAACGTCATTCTGATATTCAATGGAGCAGGGAGCGGGGATGTCATGCTTGCGTTGGGTGCCTCTCACACAAGGCAACAAGCAAAAACAATCTGCTCAAATAACCGCAATAGAGACCAAGAGCGGCCGAAAGGATTTCAATGAAACTAGGGTACGGAACGGCCCCCATTGGTAGGCGTTCCTTCGTCATGTAGTAGTACACAACTAACACCATTCAAACCTGCTGTACGGACGCGCCGGACATGATAATCTGCACTCACACGAGTAAATACTTCGAATCATCCAATCGTTCTTGGCGGTTGGGCCTACAGCTTGCTGAAAACAAACAACAACAACAACAACAACACATTTCATTTCATACACAATCCTCACCGCCTGCGGCCTTGAGCTCCTTCGTTTTCTTCTCCCTGCCCTTCTGTTCGCCGGTGTAGTTGGCGCGGCCTGTGTGTGTGGGGGGGACGACGTTGAAGGGGCATAGCTGAAAAAACAGATGCCGCCAAACCAAGAGAAACCGTTGAGGTTTGAATTCTAGCAGCAGCAGCAACAGCACCATCCTTAACAACCACAGCAACCAACACTATCTCACCCTTTGATGCCGGGGTGGAAAAGTCGCCCGAGCGCCCGACCTCCAGTCCCGCGGCCTTCTTGTCATGTTTCGCTAAGTTCTTGTAGCCGGAAAATGACCACCCGACCAGAAACGTCAAAAGAACGGACCAATCCCGCACCAGTTCCGGTTGTTGATCATGACGGTGACAAAAATCCAGGGATCTCCGCTGCGCGATTTCTTCGGGGTTGTCTCGACGAGAGACACCTTGCTTCCAACCTTCGCGATTCCGATGGTGTTTCCGAAGAGCCACAGACCCTGCTCGAACAGCGTGTCCCTGAGGTGCCGACCGAAACGATTTATGTAGCGTTGGGGCAGCACGTGAGACAAGGGAGTGCAAGCTGGTCCTGTCGGTAAGTGGGAATCTAACCTAACCAACGACTACGCGCGCGGAGAGAGCGCGCCCCGCAGAGCGAACAATAAACATGGGTGTCCTCACTTGCCGGCCATGATGGCCACCACGTCCCACAGCGGGAGAGCCATCGTGGACTGGACGTAGGTGGTGTCGGCCGCCTCGGTCCTCACGCGCTCGTCTTCCGCTGAACCGACCTCGACAATCCGCGTCGCACCCCGCCTACCAGAACCCGCCGACTGCGCCCCACCGAAAACACATCCGTCGTGGTAAGCCCGCGTCTTCGCGTCGGACAACCTCCCGCTGTAGTCCGTGTCCTCCCCGCCACCGGTGTGGTGCACCATATCCACCACCCACAACGGCGACGGCTTGTTGCTGTCGTCGACGAAGAGGTGGGAGAACTGCGGGTCGCGAGCTTCGGGGAGCCGGTCCACCATCTTCTCCTGCACGGCGGGCGACTCTTTCTCAAGCGCGGACGCGAGGAAGATGAACTTATGTGCCGGACTGCCGTACGGCTCCTTGGCCTGCATGAGAGCCTTGACGGCAGTGGATTTATCAGTGCGCATGAACTGCGGGACGCCTTTCTTGCCGCCGCGAACGACCCCTGGGACGGGGGGATCTTCGACGCCGTCGGTGGTCGCCGGTAACTCGTGGCGCCTGCTGAACAAGTCGAGTGCAGCCTTGTAGCGAGATGTTGGAATGACGATCACAGTGTCTCCCTTCCCCCCCACCGATGTGCTCCGAAAAGCCACCTCGTCGGGTCTTCCCGAGATGTTCTTCGCCACGAAGTCCGTAGCGGAGAATGGGGTGGGTTGCCACTGCATACATCGCGGGTGAAAGGAAAGTGGGGCGGCCCATTACTTCAAAACGTCTCCGAAGCAAAATGTAGATGTCTTGCTGATCGAGTGCATTGGTTGCGCTCGGGTAGAGCTGCCAATGGAACAAAACTATAATCGACGACGCCGGAAAAGGACCATTCTTTGCTATACTCACAGTCAACGGTGCCTCCTCGGCGCCTTCGTCCGACCCCTCGACAAGCATGGACGTGTTTTCTCATTGAAGAAATCGACCTCGCCGCAATCGTCGGCACGACCGCGTTTCCTCGACTGCATGGTAAAATGCAGGCGTGAAATCGAGAGAAGCACAGCACCGTCGACAGCACCGCGTGACGACGGCGGTCTTCTAGGTATCGCCTACGTGTCAGTCACCGTTGGTTCCCAGTGATGCATTAATCATGCCAAGACCGAGAGGCGGGAACAGGGGGCATGACACAACTTCCCCGAAATTCGAAACCCCGCCCTGGAGCAACTACTTTGACGTGTCTCCATGGTAACCTCGATATCGAAAAATGGGATAAAGGGGGAGGGGAGGAAACGCGCACAACAAGCAGGTGGGTGACACACGGCCTCGCTGGCGTGTACGGGGATTCATCGACCATGTAAGGCAAGACATATACTTGACCTTTCTGCTAATTTGGTGCTGTAAGCGATGGTCATCGTTTGCTCGGGTTAGAAGGGGAGGGAGGGGAATGGAATGAAACCAGGGGGGGGCTTGCTTGCGCTTGAGAGAATCGCAGAGGGAATTCGAAAAAAAGAGGCGTTCCGACTTGTACTAGCGAATTCCTTCTTCGGTGTATGGCCGTGTAGCATCTGTTCGCCGAGAAGAACTTATCACCAGACAAAACGATATTAGCGTCTGCCGCAGAATTGGTGGTCAGATCTACATGAATTAGGCGTGTGCCTCTCGTAAAGCGGTCGGCGACCGACAGAGACGGCAACAATACGAGTAGCATTCACCTCGCTCGACGATCTCGGCGCAGCCTGCTCGGGGCTGTTGACCTGTAGCGGGACCATCGCTCTCGTTGTTTGCGGGGCTCGAGGAGGGCTGGCGGTCTGGAGCGTTGAACGCGGGTGCGCAACAAGACGACGCCGCGGGAAGTGAATCGAACAAACAGAACATTCTGTGTGCATTGTAGTCAATTTCATGGTGGAACGAACGCCTGCCGGGGCGTAAATGATCGAGGTACGGGGTGATCGATCGAATATCGGGAGCTACGGGTGTTGCTGGATGAAACCATGAAGCGGCTGAGCTCGAAAGATACACCATTTGTTCTCCAAAGCGGACCAAATGGACAGTGCGGGCAGTTGGTGTGGGGGAGCATCGAGTATTATTCAAAATAACGCGGGCTGTGCTGTTGTGGGTTCTTCGTCCAAATACGCACCTTCAAGAATGAGCCGATGCCCGGTGTGCCCTTGCGGGACTCTCTAAGCTGGGTCTTGGAAAATCTCACCATCTTCCCGCAAGATCTGTCAAACAAAGACCATGCGAACAATGAAGGCGTAAAGTTCGGATGATGTTTCAATGCGTACGAGAGTCGGGGTTTCAGCTCCCCAGCCGATTTGATCAACCTCAGTTGATCACCCCGTGTTTAAGTCAAGGCTAGGACTACCCTAAAGTCTGGGCCATGAAGCTGGCGCTCGGAGCTTGGATCATATGTGCTTGGTGTCTCCCTGTTCATTCCTCTTTGAGTGCAGACATGTTACACGCAAACTCCGCCCCCTGACCGCAAGGTGACTCCATACTGGCAGACTTGCCTTGGCTGCTTTGACCGTATTTTCAAGCAGAGTGTTGGTGAGGCAGTCTGAGTCTTCACCTCAGGATCTCTCGCCGGTTATGACGCTCCAGGGATGCGTGCGCTCTCCCTCGGGGTGGACCGGGTCACAGGCTCACAGGCTGCTGTATCACACGAATCGGTTTAAACCATTTCACAACAAGAGGGAGCAAGCGCGCTTGTTCTTCGCCAGCCGGCCAGAGGAGAAAACATGTACACATATCGGTACACGTGGGAAGGCTCTTCTCTCGCCTGCACCAAGCGATACCGAAGTCCATCCCTTCTGCTGTCGTGAGACTCAACATTTTGAATTTGGTGAAAAGCAGACCTAACGGCTGGGAACATACGACCTATGTTGGAGACGTGATCAAAGCCAAACAATACAACGTGCAAGACAAACATTGAGGGCAACTCATCGCTCCAATCACCGCAATCCCTACCTCTCTTGGTTCATCGGTGATGTGTGTTTGGCTTTTGTCATCCAAGTTTGAAGGAGCCAAGTTTCCAATCACTGTGTTGACTCCGTATTTCAAATTTCAACTAAAAAAATGGGTTCAGTTTTCAAAAAAGGTTCACGAGGCATGTTTTGGGTCTCATGTTTTCGAAACTGCCAGTTTTATTTCCTTTTCGTTCATATGTGTGTATGTGCTGCGTGTGTGTTTACAAGTCGCACGTGTACGGACAGCCTGGAGCTCCTTGTACACCAACGGTAGCTGGTGGTAGTTGGTGTATGATGAAAACGCAAGAGAGAGAGAGAGGTTGAGGGAGTCCTCAACCAGGGTGAGAGAGAGAGGGGGGCGGGAGGATGTGGTTGTGAGGGTGTGTGGACGATTGTTTCCCGCACAAGATTGTTCCCTGCTGTGTGTGCCTCTCTTTTTTTTTTTTTCCAAAGACCGTCCGTCGTCGTGTGGGTGCGACAAAAAAATCACAAGAAGAGGGGCGAGGATGGTGGGTTAGCCACCACCCAGCGTAGGGTGGATCGTAGCAACCAGGAATAAATCCGTTCGTCCAGGGAACGAATGACTTAGGGTTAGGGTAGCGATTCCCGTGAAAGTCTGGCGTCATCATCAGTCCAATCAGTCGTCCACGGCGAATTTGAATTTTTTAAATTTTTCCAAGAGGTGACTTCATGACCGTGGCTGACGTCATCGGTCGACCATGGAATTGTCTGCACACAGGAGATTTCCTTTCAAAAAAGTTGGCCAATCAGAAAACGGCGGGCACCTTTTCTCTCTCTCTCTATGTGGTCGACCGATGACGTTCGTCCAGGGAACGAATGACTTAGGGTTAGGGTAGCGATTCCCGTGAAGGTCTGGCGTCATCATCAGTCCAATCAGTCGTCCACGGCGAATTTGAATTTTTTAAATTTTTCCAAGAGGTGACGTCATGACCGTGGCTGACGTCATCGGTCGACCATGGAATTGTCTGCACACAGGAGATTTCCTTTCAAAAAAGTTGGCCAATCAGAAAACGGCGGGCACCTTTTCTCTCTCTCTCTATGTGGTCGACCGATGACGTTCGTCCAGGGAACGAATGACTTAGGGTTAGGGTAGCGATTCCCGTGAAGGTCTGGCGTCATCATCAGTCCAATCAGTCGTCCACGGCGAATTTGAATTTTTTAAATTTTTCCAAGAGGTGACGTCATGACCGTGGCTGACGTCATCGGTCGACCATGGAATTGTCTGCACACAGGAGATTTCCTTTCAAAAAAGTTGGCCAATCAGAAAACGGCGGGCACCTTTTCTCTCTCTCTCTATGTGGTCGACCGATGACGTTCGTCCAGGGAACGAATGACTTAGGGTTAGGGTAGCGATTCCCGTGAAGGTCTGGCGTCATCATCAGTCCAATCAGTCGTCCACGGCGAATTTGAATTTTTTTAATTTTTCCAAGAGGTGACGTCATGACCGTGGCTGACGTCATCGGTCGACCATGGAATTGTCTGCACACAGGAGATTTCCTTTCAAAAAAGTTGGCCAATCAGAAAACGGCGGGCACCTTTTCTCTCTCTCTCTATGTGGTCGACCGATGACGTTCGTCCAGGGAACGAATGACTTAGGGTTAGGGTAGCGATTCCCGTGAAGGTCTGGCGTCATCATCAGTCCAATCAGTCGTCCACGGCGAATTTGAATTTTTTTAATTTTTCCAAGAGGTGACGTCATGACCGTGGCTGACGTCATCGGTCGACCATGGAATTGTCTGCACACAGGAGATTTCCTTTCAAAAAAGTTGGCCAATCAGAAAACGGCGGGCACCTTTTCTCTCTCTCTCTATGTGGTCGACCGATGACGTTCGTCCAGGGAACGAATGACTTAGGGTTAGGGTAGCGATTCCCGTGAAGGTCTGGCGTCATCATCAGTCCAATCAGTCGTCCACGGCGAATTTGAATTTTTTTAATTTTTCCAAGAGGTGACGTCATGACCGTGGCTGACGTCATCGGTCGACCATGGAATTGTCTGCACACAGGAGATTTCCTTTCNTCGACTCACAGGGCCCTTTTTTCAGACAGCTTAACATAGCGACCTTCGGGCACAGAGTTGTGAGATATGCCCCCATCACCGCGTTCGGCAAAAAGTGGCAAGAACAGCTCCCAGGAGCCTGTCTCGCTGTCCTCGTTGCCGACGCTTGGCGTGACAGTCAAGTCGACCTGCTAAAAGCACGGGAGAGGAGGAGGTTTGGATTCCGCGATGTAGATTCCACGGGTGCGTTTATGATCTCATCTCGTGGTGGTCGACCAAAAAAGGGCGCGGCTGTACAAAACAAGAACGCTCTTGACGGTGGGAACTACTTCCGCAACCTGTATTCGATTCTACTGGAGCGAGACATCGGGGAAGTAGAGTTCGACACATGGGTTTCGGGGGATGCAGAACCACCCGCCTTGACATTACTCCATCTCGAAAAGTGGCTCTATATGACCAAGGCCAGCGTGGTGGTGTGGTCACATCGGGGCACTGGTGCCAATATTCTTGGACCACCCGACGGGAAAACGAACCTCCGACCGCCCACAGTACACGTCGGGGTGCGTGAGGGACACGTGTACCGGCTTGTGCTCGAGGGGCCTTGGAGAGACAGGTTTGGATCGTCTCTAGACGTGGCAATCGAACACCGCGTACGAATGCACCGTAAATTCCGCCGGATTTCTTAGATGACCGAGGAAGAAGAGGAACCAGATACGACTAGTTTTGGCGCCAAGACCTTCTCGTGTGTCGCTGACATTGTGAGTGATATNGTCAGCGTCGTCGTATGGTCACATCGAGGCACTGGTGCCAATATTCTTGGACCATCCGACGGGAAAACGAACCTCCGACCGCCCACAGTACACGTCGGGGTGCGTGAGGGACACGTGTACCGGCTTGTGCTCGAGAGGCCTTTGAGAGACAGGTTTGGATCGTCTCTAGACGTGGCAATCGAACACCGCGTACGAACGTACCGTAAAGTCCGCCGAATTTCTGAGATGACCGAGGAAGAAGAGGAACCAGATACCACTGTTTTTGGCGCCAAGACCTTCTCGTGTGTCGCTGACACTGTGAGTGATATCATGGCCATCAAACAAACAGGGGGGGACCACAACCGACAACCAGTGGTAAATAAGCGGAAGCATGGGAGGAAGGTATCAGAATGCAAGACTTGGTACGCGCCTCCAGGAACGGCCCGCGATGAACTCATGCTCCACCTACACCTCGCTGGGGTCTCTTGCAAGGGTAAACTCACGAACTACAGTCGCTGGGATTCACTGTCCTTACCAGCGCACGGCGTAGTCATCCGAACCTGGTGCAGCGCGAGCATGGGTGGGCTCGATCCCGATGACTTCGAGCCCGACCAGGCAACACGATTGATCGAGCTGCATAATGCCCTGGGGATGAAGTTCTGCCGCGGAGTATTGGATTTTCGAGTATCAAGCCAGTACAGCAAGTCTCTGCTCGCCTCCTTGAGGTGTGCTGGCGGGGGCCGATCGTCGGGGCAGAGGACGCGTCCGGGAGTTCCTACGGGAGGGAAGACTGGCAATG